CTTATTTTCCCCACAGTCTTGAGACTCGAATTCACCATGTGCTGGTATGCTCCCTCTTCTCATATATTGTCTCCTCCTTCACAGTTTGCTGCGACAGAGCCAACTGTGATTATACCTAATCAGAATTGCTTCAAAGCTATGATTTACAAACCTTCACCAAACACATTTAAAGCCTTTTAATCCTAGTTTGGTCCTAATGCAAATCCTACAGAAAGGGAAAAGCACACCTCTGGTTAACCTTGAAGCCCTCTGCCCCATATTGTTTTATGTCAAACAGCCCTGGCCACAGCCCTCATGTTCCCCAGCTTCCCCCTCAAAAAGTTTAGTGTTACAAACTCAGGCAACTCTACACACTGAAGGCATTCTTGTTTCACCCTGATGCTTGACTCGCACCCAATCCCCTCTGCCTTCTGTCCTTCCAAAATAAATAGACATAAGCCCTAGTCCATAGACACTGAGTCTCTTTGTGTGTGAACCTCCAGGCTGATCCGCAAGGTCAGATTTGAATCTTCAAGCTACAGATCCAAGCCATGATCCAACAGCCAAGCTATGTGAGAGGCACCCTACAGCTTCTGTTGAAGCAGCTACTGGACTTGCCTAAGACTATGCAACAAAATCAGTGGCAGAAGCCAAGAGTGTCACCCATCTTTTCCCACCACTCCCTCCCCATGTTTCATTCAGTACATGAAGCCATTCTGCCTTGTGAGGATGTGGTCACAAGCTTTCTAACCAGAAATACATGTTTCCAGCTCCACCCCTCTGCCTGTCACATTCTGTAAAGTCATCCAGCAAGAGATGGGAAGACTACTCCCTCTTAACATGGATAACTAGTATTTAAAGCTCAGCAGCACTGAAAAGCTTCTTTTCAAAATGCAGGCATGTCAGTTCCATTCGTAAGAAGGCGCTAGAGCATCACAGGGTGTGTTCATTCAAATTGCAAAAATCAGCGTGATCAAGGGTGCTATCACGTCAGCGAATCATCTTATATAATAAAAAGGAAACTCTCAAAGATTGCGGTGCACGTGTGCCAATCATAATATTTACAGTTTTCACATGGGAGACTGAATGCCTTCCATTATTCCTCAGCCTTGGCCATGCCCTTGATGCCACATACATAAGCAACGATCTAGAAAGGGGGCAGTCCCTGCCTCACTTCCCATCTCATCTTCCTTAGGTTAGGAAGGACCTTTATGAACTCTGCTTGGGGGAAATAAGCTATCTTGTGTTGTACAAAATCCAGCAACAGGGTTCATTCACATCACGGCACTGTACACAGAGATTAAATCAAGACAAAATCCCAAGGCCTCCTATCAAAGACAGCAATTTCTCCACTCGAGTTACTGTATTTTTCTGTGTATAAGACTAGATTTTCCCCCCTTAAAAATAATGTCAAAAATTAGGGGGCATCTTATACACGGATACATCTGCCCCCCCCATTTTCTTAAATCTGAGTCCCCCAAAATAGGGGGTGTCTTATACATGGGGGAATCTTATAGATGGAAAAATACGGTACCCTGCTTGTGTTCCAGTACACAGTATTTGTGACGAAGTTGGATAAGAGAGTGACTAACAGGTATTTAGCAACGCCACCATCATCAGTGCAGAATGTTCAGTATGGACAAAAGGAAAGTTGCTCAGACACAGATACACATACATCTTACCTTTGCTTTAACAGGATGAACACTGTTGTTTTGTGAAACAGTTTTTCTTAGCCATCAATTATACCATTTACTTTCAAGTGTATAAGGAGCAAGTGTACAAGAGTACAAGTGTACAAGAGCAATATACAGAGTTACAGAGCTGGCCCAATACATTTTAGCACCTGAGGTGAACTACAAAATGGCACCACCACCCCTTCCCCCAGAGAAGAATGGGTGAGTGAAAGTCTACATCAGGAAGAAGGGGGGAAATAAACATCTACATCTGGATCTGCTGCCCCTGTGGATCCTGTCGCCTAAAACAATTGCCTCACCTTGCCTCCTGGGTGGGCCGGTCCTGCAGAGTTATTTCATTAGGAGGATGCCTCATAGTAAGAAAATATAGGGGGGGGGGGGAGAGACAGACTCTCATCACATTGGATCAACAATTATCCCAAAAGAAGATGTGTAAAAAGCAGTCTTCTGACTTCTGTTACTAAGAGGAACAAACATGTGTCCAATATGATATTAAAGGGTTTGGTGCACTGAATAAGCAGCCAAGAAAATTACAATCTAACTTGCCCAAGACTGTATATTACTACTTAAAAATTTTGATCCCTAGCATCACAATTAAGCAGCTGAACCTGGAAGGACAGTTGAGTAATCCAGAGCCTAGATATTCAAAAGGCTTTAGAAGCTAACAAAGGTGTAGTTAAAGCTCTAAAATCTGAGATATTAAATATTAACTCACAACCTGAAGCCACAGTTCACTGATAGTGATTATGAACATAGGACACAGCAGTAAAATGTTTTCTTGCTGCATTGCCACTTATTCTTAAGGAAATGAAACCAGGGTGTGCCCAATACCTGATATTGTTATGAGTTTGAGGGAGAGGAAATAGGCTGTAGGTGAGATCCTTGTAACCCCTTGTAACCCCTTGATCCAGCAAGTGTTAAAACATAAGCCAGGCCAGCTAGATGAGGTGATAGCCTGGGTGATGGGCCATTAAGGGGAAAACAAAGGAAAGGGGCAATTGAGTTTAGAGTTGAGTTGCAGTGATGTGGGCCAGATTTCAAGCAGCAAGCTGGGAGGAGAGAGAGAGAGAGAGAGAGAGAGAGAGCGCAATGTTTGATGTCTGTTTGAATCCAAGGCTGTGGATATGGGAGAAACAAGATCCTTTTGGGTGTTGATGCTATGATAGGCTCAGGTTGTATACATGTGCAAATAAACCATATATCATAAAGGCACCACAGTCTCTGCTATGCCTCATTCCCAAAAGGAAACATAACCCCTGGGTAAGCACCTAGAATCCCTGTAATCTTGCCCCACTCGGAGATTAGGGTGGTGTGAAACAATATCAACAACACACATCATATATGAGCCAACTGAAGGAGGCAGGCATTTTCAATTTTTGACCTTCAGCTACAGTGGAGTCCCTGTAGGCTCTGGGCCCACAAAACATATGTTTACCATCATGTAGTGAAACGGGTACCAACACTGTGGAGGGAGCAGAGGGAATGGGCAACAGCCAGCTCTCAGAAGGGAAGCAATAAGTGAGGCAGCTGTACCCACTACCACCTCAATTTAAAGGGGGTAGGAATATGGATTTGAATCCAAATTGCTTCTTGCAAACTGAGAAGACAAGCCCCATTGGAGTTCCCAATGAGGAACTACCTGCTGGATCCGATCCTAGCGGGACTCCCTGTCAGCATCTATCCCTTCAAGTTTCAATTGTGCCTTTGTAGCTGCAGCTGTATCTGTCCCGCACTGACATCACCTATGACATCGTTTGTGGGGAAGGTCCTCACTGGCCAAACTGGGACTCTCGTGGGCCAAATTATGTCATGGAGCAGACGTTCCCCACTGCTATTTTATATCATAGGTATTAGAAACAAACAGCCCTCGGTACATGTAGTACTGCTGATTACTTTTTAGACAGAGGCAAAATACTTGGGTCTACAAGATCAGATGGTCTCCTCTATAACTAGTTGCTTTTTAAACTATAAGAAGATTAAGTACTAGGTCCTACAATCTGGAAGGTAAAGTCCTTCCACCAAGGGGCATTATAAATATGGTTTATTGCCACAAGTGACGTTAAACGCCAGCTCAGGTCCTTCATTTGATGCTTAGCTGCAAGTGGATTTTAATAGTGTAAAATGAAAGTCTCGTCCAAATCCCTCCTCCTTTCTACAACCTTTCTACAACCAACCTATTTATTATATGTGCACTGTTACATTTCATTTAATGTATATTTTAATTAATGTTATTGTGTATTTTAAGTATAGTAGTAAGCTGCTTAGATTTTGGCATATAAGTGGATACAACAATCAATCAGTCAGATGAAGCAGTGCACATTGTTGGAATTTAGCATGCATCGGGACAAATAACAAGAGTCAATTACTATCTCTTTTCCCTGTTAGATCATTTCATGGTCCCCTCAAGTAGAGGTTACTTTAATTTCATTTATAGTATTTTCTTGGGGGGTATAGGCTTGCTCCAGTTTTTAATCTAGCACACAGAGCTTAGCTGACTGACTGATACATTGCCCAAGAATACCCTGCAAATGAAACTCAGTGACTCCACTGAAGAATTTAGATTTTGTTTTTAAATAAGCTTTGGTGACATGTATTCTTATGTATTAAAAACCAACAGAATTAAAGAGAGTTGCCAGTTCACTAAAAAAAAAAAATGCTACTTTGAATGCATCTGCATGGACTAATGCTATTCTGCATCCCATTGGCCAAACCACATCAGAATAAGAGACAGAACGTGTCAAACATACATGCACAAGCACCTTGACCCTGGAGACCCATCCACTTCTACCTACACAAAAGACTCTTTAATCATTACCCTTACAGTACCAGAGCTGCACAATCCTAGTTTTCCAGTTTCAAATTCCAAGCAGGCATAGTTCTGCATGTTTACCTACATTTAACTGATAAGGAGCACATTTCCACCCCCATCTCATGTTAAAAACAATTTCCATCCAAGTCTCTGAAGATTTATTAAAATAATTTAAATGATTGCAAAACTTAAAGTAAGCTTATTTTCCCATAAGTGTGATAATTATATATATAGAGAGAGAGAGAGAGAGTATAATGTATAATATATATAATATGTTATATATTATAGAGAGAGCACATTTATGCTTGGTTGCATCTTCCAGATTTTTTGAAAGGAAGCTGCTTTTCTTACTACAGTATATATTTTCATTGTTAAAAAGCCTGAACAGAAGCCATGAAAGAGACAAACATTTGTCATTCACAGATTTACAGATTAAAAGTCATTTTAAAAGCAACTAAGCTACCAACAGAATTCCCCCTAAATTCTATCAGGAAAGGTTTGCAACATGCATGGATTACCTTCACTAGGAAACTCGAGACTTTCCATAATCCTTTACGAGCCCAAAGATTTCAGTAGGAACAACGGCAAGAAAGATAGCACGAAACAGGGAAAGCGTATAAGCAAGACTGGACAAGCCAGCTATCTGGTCGGCTATTTGTATCTAAATCCAGGAACACTCCTTTTCCGCCTAAGCAAACATAGTTTAGTTAGAGTTTAACTCACCTTTACTAGGAAATAAAAACAATTCCAGCTACTCTGCTATGAAATGACACGACCAAACAGGCTATACCACCTTCTCTGTTCTCTTCTTGACCTCCTACTGACTTACCTAGACAGGTAAATTCCTCCTCTGTCTTCCTCACTCCACCCTGCTTCTGACTCTCAACCAATCATGCATCCTCCTTCAAACTCCTCATTCCAGCTGTTACCAAAAGGAGGGGAAGGCGGGATTACAGAGCTCTCGGCCAACCACTTTTCCCCCCCAGTTCTAAACTTTGGCAGCCAGGAATGAAGCAAAACAGGTAAATGTTTATTTTTAATCTGCATTTTCTGAAGATGAATCGTTTTGCAGCTAAAATGTCACAGGTTATATTTCCCATTTAGGGGGAACTGTAGGATATGAGTTTTCTCTTCCTCTGAAAAGGGGGGTGACAAAAAAAAAAATCAGAAGCCCACGCATGGCGTGGGATGCATTGCTTCATTCTTTGAAGCCCCTTGGTTTTCCCATCTTTGTTAAGGCTGTATTCCTACTGCTTTTTTTTTCCCTACTGCTAACTCTGGAGAATGGAGTTGTAGACGTGGGTCACCTTCCATCAGCTATCTGGCTTAGATCCAGCAGTGTGTGTTATTCATTTTATTTCTTCTAACGTTCTCAGTGTAGCCAAGCTTCCCCTATCTCATTGTTGGCATCCGTCTGTCTCGGGAGACAATGGAGGAATGTGCCTTTGGGGGTGAAGTCAAACCGTTGGGAGAGTTACAGCACCTGCTGCGGCTGTAGAGACCAATGCAGGCAAGACATGTTTTGTTGCAGCTGGGGCAGATGAAGGCATCCGGTTGTGCTGCTGCAGATGCACCATGGCATTTCTTCTCTCTGTACTCATTTCTCCTCTGGTGTGTGCTACACACTCACAACCTGTCAGTCTCCAAGCACTATGGTTGTCTGTAAGGAATTCCAACACAGTGGAGTTGTTGTCAGCCTTCATGTCTCACAGACATTTTTGTAATGCAGAGTTAATGTGCCAATGGGCCAAGTGCCTGAAGCCAGCTTTCCATAGAGCACGACCTTTACACCTATATGTTAGCATCATCGCTACCCCTTTACAACCATGAAAACTAATGAAAAGAAAAATGGACCTCCCTTTGTGAACAGACTGCAGATGTGGGAACTGAATCTGTGATCCACAGGTACCAGCTGCTAGAATGAGGCAGGGGAAAACGAAGGACACAGAAGTGCATCTGCAGGCCTTAGAGTGGATAGTCATTGCCCAAAACAGACTCAGGCTTATCACCATGTAAATATGCATGGATATGAAGTCTTATTTTCATTTCTGATCCATCAGAAGTTTCTTGGCTGATGCTAGAACTTGTTCAGATAAATGGGTTGCTATTATATGCAGCAACACCTGGCTGTTCCTACACCTAACCCATGAAAGGCTGGCATCATATAAATGGGAAATAATAATAGTAATTGGGAAATTGTAGGCTTGCTCTAGATTAGTGGAATTTAAACTTCCTACCCTCAGGAAACACTTTCTACATCAATCCATCTCCAGAATACCCCTTGTATAGTACAGAAAATTCAAGGACATACCAGTAGTTCCAGTATGCATTCTAAAATACATAGCCATCACTGGAGTCTTACTCCCAAGGAAGAAAGTGTTCATAGGCTCCTAGCATGGGAATAAGTACACCCTATGTACACTTATCCTATGTACACCCTATGTACACTTAGGGACGCGGGTGGCGCTGTGGGTTAAACCATAGAGCCTAGGGCTTGCTGATCAGAAGGTTGGCAGGTTCAAATCCCCATGATGGGTGAACTCCCGTTGCTTGGTCCCTGCTCCTGCCAAACTAGCAGTTCAAAAGCACAAAGTGCAAGTAGATAAATAGGTACCGCTCCAGCGGGAAGGTAAACAGTGTTTCCGTGCGCTGCTCTGGTTTGCCAGAAGTTGCTTAGTCATGCTGGCCACATGACCCGGAAGCTGTACGCCGGCTCCCTCGGCCAATAAAGCAAGATAAACGCCGCAACCCCAGAGTTGTCCGTGACTGGACCTAATGGTCAGGGGTCCCTTTACCTTTATGTCCACTTGCATGCATATCCTAAGTGAGCAAAAGTGCCTGCTGCTATGCCCTTGGTTGGTGAACCAGTCTCTAGTGATGAGATAGCCGTTTATACATATGAATATGTGGAGCAGAAGCAGGAAACCCAATTGCAGCAATAGTGGCAGAATTCTTGTGGCTTAAGAAAATAGTGGCACCAGTGGGCCTTCAGAATTGGAGTAAAGTGACCAGACTTGCATTCCTATATGCACTTTGCTGAGAGCAAACCCAGTAACCCACTGAACTATGTGGGATTTACCTCTGCATAAACAGTCCTGGTATTGCAAATATTAGGAAACCAAGTATTTCCAACCCAAAATACAAACCAAATGAAGTCTCAATGAAGTCCAGTTTAGCAGTCCTATGATTAGTTCATATATATATAGAGAGAGAGGGACGCGGGTGGCGCTGTGGGTAAAAGCCTCAGTGCCTAGGGCTTGCCGATCGAAAGGTTGGCGGTTCGAATCCCCGCGGCGGGGTGCACTCCCGCTGCTCGGTCCCAGCGCCTGCCAACCTAGCAGTTCGAAAGCACCCCCGGGTGCAAGTAGATAAATAGGGACCGCTTACTAGCGGGAAGGTAAACGGCGTTTCCGTGTGCGGCTCGCCAGAGCAGCGATGCCACGCTGGCCACGTGACCCGGAAGTGTCTCCGGACAGCGCTGGCCCCGGCCTCTTGAGTGAGATGGGCGCCCAACCCCAGAGTCTGGCAAGACTGGCCCGTACGGGCAGGGGTACCTTTACCTTTATATATATATATATATATATATATGCAGGTTTTGGTGTCCTCGGGTGTCTTCCCGTGTAAAAGTTGGGGTGTCTAGGCGACGTTTCGACGAGGTCTCACTCGTCATCTTCAGGCTGGTGCTTTCGGCTTCTTGTTACTGGAACAGAGCAGGATCTCAGTGTTTGAGTTCCTATAAATACTGTTGAGGGGGTGTGGTGTATAGCCTCCAATGTTCTGGGCAGAGAGGAAGTTCCCAGGCTAGTGTGCCTTTTCTTCTTTTGTTCCTTAATTACTTGAGGGATATCTTGAGTGATTTCTTGAGTGATTTCTTGAGTGATATTCTGAGTACCACTTAGGTGGGTCATTAGGTGTGGATTAGTTGCTAAAGCCTTCGTGTCTTGACCTCTTGAGCTTTGTGAAGAGTTTTTCTGAGAAGATGGCTGTACTGCACTTAGTTGTGCTCTGGCTTGGCTTCGTGTATAGGGGCGAGCTGTGGTTTTGTGTCCTGTGCCAGCCAGATCTGTGACGACACATCCCGCCTGCCAGACATCTGGAAATTAGCCCTCCCCACAAAAACCGACACCAGATCCAGAGGCACACAGAACGCCATCACCAATCAACCACACCAGACCCAAACCCAGACCCTCTCCACAGATAAATTACAGACACCATCCAGTAGCCAAACCATGGTGGCACCTCCGGATGCTGCACCCCCCTGCAATCCCTACACAGATCTGGCTGGCACAGGACACAAAACCACAGCTCGCCCCTATACACGAAGCCAAGCCAGAGCACAACTAAGTGCAGTACAGCCATCTTCTCAGAAAAACTCTTCACAAAGCTCAAGAGGTCAAGACACGAAGGCTTTAGCAACTAATCCACACCTAATGACCCACCTAAGTGGTACTCAGAATATCACTCAAGAAATCACTCAAGATATCCCTCAAGTAATTAAGGAACAAAAGAAGAAAAGGCACACTAGCCTGGGAACTTCCTCTCTGCCCAGAACATTGGAGGCTATACACCACACCCCCTCAACAGTATTTATAGGAACTCAAACACTGAGATCCTGCTCTGTTCCAGTAACAAGAAGCCGAAAGCACCAGCCTGAAGATGACGAGTGAGACCTCGTCGAAACGTCGCCTAGACACCCCAACTTTTACACGGGAAGACACCCGAGGACACCAAAACCTGCATTCCTATACCCGTGAAAATCTACGAAAGCATATATATATATATATATATATAGAGAGAGAGAGAGAGAGAGAGAGAGAGTTAGTTTACAGGTTATTTCTGTTTCTCTTTCTGTCGTTTGCTGTCCCTCCCCCACCCCACCCACTTCAGAACACATCAAAGAGAGTAAGAATGGTGGCAATATCAACTTTGCAACCTCCCATCCCACCAACCAATTAATGAATGGAACACAACCTTTCTTTGTCGTGCTCTCAAGGCTGCTGGGCTACTTGAGAGATGGCAATAAGCTGCCTATATTTTCAGATGCACAAGTGCCTTTCTTTTGCCTCATACATTTCACTGGGAGGCACCACCTTCATTTGGCATGTCGCTCTTCTGCATAGTTTGCTAGTGACACCTTCAAAAGAGAAACTCATAGCTTTGACTCTAATATGTTCCTACCTATTAATTAGTTCCTTCTAGGATGTGGCTTAAAATATATTAGTTCATCAGATTTATTGTCCTAGGTGATTTAACATGGCGTGCTTTACAAATCGGCAACAGGAAAAGCTGAAGAGGCTGGTTCTTTCACAAACTGCTCATGAATCAAGCTTGGGCTGTGCTTTACAAACATTTCCCCAGCACCAGGCATATACAAGAATTCAACCTGAGCATGAAAAATTATTGTCATCCTTCCATTGGCTGTTTATAAAGATTTATGGACTGCTTAAAGACAGAACTCTCTTAGTGGTGTACATAATAAAAATTGTAGATAAAACACAGCTAAAATGTAGCAAATGACCACTATACAAATACTGGGAGCCTACTGTAGTCCAATAATGAGAACAAATTGCCCAGCAGCTATGATTTACTTAATTTTACAGATTAACAAAGATTTGAATAGTGAAGAAAAGATAAGCTACTTATCAATTCCACATTTACTCTTCTCAATTCCACATTTTTCAGAAAAGGGCAAGAGAGTTTAAAACA